CAAAAGGGAACCTGACAGAAAATGAATGGGGAAAGAGGGCAGGGGGGAAACCAAAACCTTCTTCCCCAGTAAAGTTTAACATAAAGAGGGAAGGGAGCTCTACATGAGTAGAAATTCTACTACTACAGTTTCCAGTCACTACTCTAGAATTTAATTTTTGCAGACAGAAAAAAAAGTTAAAACTATAACCATAATTTGATTTGAGACTCATCCACAGATCCTCTAGGAAATAATCGAGGAAGGAACAAATATGGATACTGTACAGGCCTTTCTAGTATACAGCTTTCCATTATGCTGCCTCCAAATTAGTGAAAGAATTTGTGCTGACTAGAAACAAGGCGTGTAACACAGAAGCAAGCCACACGTTCACTGTGAATTGTTCATGCATTTAAAAATATGATACTGCATTATAACCTTCCTGCACTCCAATGCTTTGCTAAAGCTGGTAAAATGGAACCAAATCACCTCTTCAATGGATTTGGTCCCCTTCAACCAGCTGTAGCTATGCATTGATCACTACAGGAGTTCTCGTACTTTAAAACCGGACACTAAGTCTGTTCAGAGTGATTATGCAGTCCTCTCTGCAGCTGAGCTCAGTTATTCTAGGCAGCTTGAAGATGGGAGGTAACAAGGAGTGCAGCACATTCTGTATTCCAAAATCTCAAGGTTGTGTTTGTAAATAAATAGCTACTGGTGGTTTAATATTCTGTCCGTATTCAGTGAAAATTGATTCTTACAACATCTATAAAGAAGACAGGTCAAAAGTGAAATAAACAGATTTTCCAATGATTTATTGTCTCTTGCATTTTTCCTCACGTCTGTTACCCTTTGTAGCAGATCTAACAAAAACCACTGATCAAAAGGAAACACAGTGAACAGCACTGGTAATGTAGGGCAGGTCTGCACTCTTCCCTACCCTCTCCCCTCCTCTTCCTCCTTCTTTTAACTGCACAAGGGAGGAAACTCCACAGGGGAGGAACTGTATTTACCATCTTGTACATGGTGGGCATATTATTTACCATTTAAAGATAATAAATTTGTCACTGACCTCAACAGCTACAGGCTAATCTGACATCTAATTATAGGTCTGCTCATGGAGATTATATTCTTTCTCTACATGAACCTGAATAAAAGTATTCTTTTAAAGCGTTTTCTGACATAATACTTTAATAAGAGGTTTTAGGAACATGCTTTTTTTGCACTTAGCTTGAACTAAGCTTCAACCTACACTTACAGTCAGAACTGCAAATAGGAAAGCAAAAAAGCACTTTTACTGGTTTACAAAATTGTACAACTCCTCAATTACCTCACAACTTGTCTCTTTGTGGACCTCCATGACAACACAGCACATAAACCCGAGACACTCATTAACACCAACTAGAGGTGAGAAACCCCACCTCTCAAATAAATCCTTAGTTAAAAATTCCACTGCCAACCACTTCAAACCATGTACGAATCGAAAAACAAAGTGACATCTACTAAATAAGACAACCATCAGGAAAAATTACAATTCTATTTTAAACCACAATCTCCTATTTCCTAGTTTATGAACGTAAAGATGACACATTTCTTGGTATTGGATGGCAATGTTATGAAAACTGCCCCTTACTCTGAGGTTTTAATTTTTTTATTTAAAGTACAGCAGAACTTACTGCTCTGAAGAATTAGTCGTACACATGTGCAAAGTCAGGTCAGCTCTAAAAGCGGCCTCTATTTAAGATGCTAGCTGCAGTGTGAATAAAGCTCTCTTCACAAGATACAATGCAAATCTAAACCTAACTGGGGCAACGGATATAAAATGCGCCTACACTTCACAGTCATGTCTTCAGCTCAAAACTCTGAAGTCACAGGTATGCGAAGAGATCAAACATAACCATGAGCTGATGCCATGGCAAAAATAACCAATCTGTACAGTCTTTTCAAATTTTACTCTCCTTTCTTCTGTCTGAAAAAATCTCATTAATACCAAAGAGGCAAAGTCTGCCAAGCTTTGAGGTTCACAGTACTTTGAAAGAAGTCCAAAATAAATGCGCTGTTAGTATGACTGACTCTAAAAATCATGAACAAAAAGCCATGTATTAAATAAACTTCTAACTTCCCTTCACTACTTTAAAATTTATCTTTAGCTCTATCTTCCATGAACAAGTTTAAACCTACCTACAGCATAAACTGAACAACGTCCGTTCTACATTTCAATATCATACCTTCACATGAAAAACGGAAGTTCTGTTTCTGTGCCAAGTGACAAGGCATGAAGAAAAAGCAAGTTATTAAAAGCAGAAATATTCCACTAACGATAGGATGCTTTCCAAAACACACTATACCTTGGCTTCTGCAAAACACTGCCAAACTGTCACGGAAGATTAAGTGCACAGAAAAATCTAAGCTATTTGACATAAATTGCTATCTTTCTTACAATATTTATCTAGTATTCACGTTTAAAATAGAATATATTTATTTTCATATGAAAAATTTTCAAATGTTTTTCTCAGCACAGTTTTTTTCTCAGCGGGTTTTTTTCTTGGAGATCTATCTCCCTATTGATAGTAAAGGTCAGAATTCAGCCACCACTATAGAAATCTAGTACACTTTGTGGTATCCATGCACTTGACACACACATTTATTTCATTATTATTAATAAGGAAGACAGATGGGGACTTTCTCAATACTTACATGCATCATAAGCATTTAGATTTTTTAAGTAGTTACACACATATGCATATACGCTTATGTTAAACATGTTTAATAGTAAAAAAAAAAGTTTCAACTTTTATGAAGTAACATCTATAAAATAATGTATGCATATATTTGACTTTAAGGGGAATTTAGTGCACTGTATTCCATATAAGGCACGACAGCCTGAAGCCATAAAACCTCCAGTTTAGGTGGAAGAGGAAATCTTAGATTAGGATTAAGTAGGGTTTCAAGCAGAATATATTATGTACTGCTCGTGACCCATACCAGCCACAAGCTAAAGTTCAGGAGGTTATTTTTAACAGCGTTTTAAATAGCTTGCGCTTAGTACATTTCACAGATTAGTAATATCCATTGTTCTACATAAGATCAGAAACACAAAGTGGCAAAGATCATACCTTCAGTTTCATTCAGAAATAGGCCAGTGGTAGAACTACCGAATTAACAATGAAATAAATTGTAATAATGACCTGGGGGGTGGAGGAAGAAAAGTTTTTCAAAATAGATTTCTTTTGGTTTCATTTTCATCAATTTCCTCCCAGGCAGGTGTGAAAAATATCTAATGTTGTGAACAAATGAAACTACTACCACATCTGTGATGGAGACAACATTCTCTCCTTTTACATGCTTCACAAGTGCTCTGATATAACTGCATCCAAAAAAGCATATATCTAAGATTTATATACTCAACTGTTTTAGAGACAAGTGAAACCCCATATATGGAGGGAACCTACACAGGATTCAAGTCACCAATACTGGAAATATTTCCCTATTCTTTTAATAAAAACTTCTGTGAAGGAGAGAGGATTCTGGGAAAAACTGCATTATGCTTCACATTCTACCAACTGTCAAACTCGTCCAGTCTGAACTACAATTCGGATCCCTCCATCAAAGAAAAAGCCTGCTGCTCCTAAAACATTGGCCCACAGAAATATATCTTCAGCATCCCTATAAAGAGCTTTTTGTTACATATACTTTCTCTGCATTTCATATTGGAATCATGATCACACAAACCAACTATCATAAGAGCCTTACAAAAGCATCTCAGAACAAAAAGCTAACAAAAAAAATACCCTCCCTAGGTATCTGGAGACAGGAAAATAGCACTCATGGGTAATGTTGATATATAAATATGGAGAGTTCACATGAAGTTACCAAGTCACACTTGAAAGAGTTGTCCTCTGAATGCCAAAAATAAGTTCCCCTCACTAGGTCCTTGACATATTCTCTTACGGACCTTTTATGAACACTGCAGAAAACAGTAAACACATTTACTGCTCCTATCAACACTTCCAACTACTACTTTTACTTTGTGAAGTGTGATTCCATTCCATATCCATATATAAATACTTATGTTTACTGTTTAACTATCAGTCTTGATAGCTATGTTCTAACAGACTAACCCAGATTTTATTCCCGTATATTAGTATATAGCCTTATTTGCCCAACCTCATTCAACTGAAATGTAGAATTTAGTTGTAAAGTTATGCAAGTAAACACACACATTTCTTTTGTGTAAACTATACTGAAATCTCCACTATCATATGATAAACCATTACTGAACTCTTGCTAGAATGACAGCTCTGAGGAATACCAATTATCCACAATGTAATAAGCAACCAGCAATGCGTAACATTTTGCATTAAGTTCTATCCACGCCACATAGTTTTTGAAAGCTATCTTAACTGAAGATTCAATGTAGGTATATTAGCGTGCAGCTAGCACAAAACAAATTATGCCTTTAAACTAACTTTATCATATGAGCTGCTGGATAAAAGCTGACATAAGAAATGCCTTCTATACACACTTCTAAGAAAAAAACAGAATTAAATGCTTCTTATACTGACAAATATAATGAAACATAATAATCCTTAGATCACTTTATAGCTACATGGCATCTTTAGTAATTATTCACAAGTAAGTATTCCTTAAAAATTCAAACCCCTTTTCCAATTCCAATATTCAAAAAGAAGAGAAACATTTTTTACAAATCCTATCTTAAGATCGCTTCTTCAGATCTTACTTAATAACCTATTTATCAGAATGTTCGCATTTACAGCCACAAGAAATTTCTGGGTATTTGGAGTTACCTGAATACAGCATTAAACTGAACTAGTAGCTTAAGTCTAATAATAGCTTCCCAAGTGTTAGAAAAGCTACACATTTAAACAGCTTCAAAATTTAACAAATATAATTACATGCAGGTTTAAGGATCTTCTGAAAGAATATCCCAGTTCTACCCTCCCATCCCTCCCTTGTGTTTTCCTTTTACAAATGATAAAATGATCTTTAAAACATATCTTTACCTTGGGTTTCCTCTTAGTGCAGCATGATGAAGAGCATTAAACCCATTGTTGTTGGTGATAGTAACATCTGCTCCAGCTTCTAACAATACAGCAAGGATGTCATCACGCTTCTTACTTATAGCATCATGAAGCGGAGTGTCACCTTCAGAATCCTAAAACCAGAAACAGTTTGCATTAGTTTTTGTATGCATCCACATTAAAGAAAAAAGATGCTTAAATATCACCCAGGAAACTGACCACACAAACACAAAACAGCTTGTCAGACCTAGAAGTGTAGCTATACTGCGGAGCTCAGAGCAAGCTTGCTCTGGTTTTGCAAGTGCTTCAGTGGGTAATCCTACTCAAGGCTCCAGCATTCTATGATTATACTATTACCAGAACTCAAACTCAGAGCTCAAGTACACCTTGCATGTCATAGTACTGAAGACACTGGTGCAAAAAACAACCTCTCGGTGCCTCATATCCAGATGGAGCTGATGTCCAATGTAGCATTTATGAGTTACAGGACAGCAACAAAAGCTAACACAACAGAGAGGAAACTATTCAGGCAGAAGGTGGCAGGGAGTTTTGAGTAATGAACACTAAGAGTGAGCCAACAATTAACTGTGTAAAAGACAATACCAAAAAGACAGTGTGAAATAAAAGCATAAGCAAATCAAAATGAAAATGCAGTCCAAGTAATAAACTTAGGCACGTATGTTGTTTTATCTGAAGCAAGTAATTTTCCATGAAGCAAAGGCCAATGTCATAAGCAATCTTAAGCTTTTAAACTTGTTATGGCTAATACCAGATTACATTACACAAGGTACATGAAAATATTTCAGTGCATAATTGAATAGGCAAAGAATTTATATTTTTAGCTTGATGTTTTATTTTTCAAATATTCCAAATAAAGGAAAAATACTTCTTATTCCTAAAAGGATTTTGTACATTACCTATTCAAGGACTCAAATGGTTGGACTGAAAAGGAATGCCCTGGACTAACAGTGAAAAAACACATCCATTTAAGCATATTTGCTGCTGTATAGGCAAACTCTCTAGATTTATGCTTCCACTAAAATTCTAACACCATATAAGTCAGGAAGTCTTTTGTCACTGACAGTGACTCAACTGCAAACTGAGTAACACAGAAACTGAACATTTTAGCAATACGCTAATATGAAAACAGTTTGTACAGGGAGAATAAAAAACTGCCAAAAAGTGCCAGAATATGGAAGCACTCAAACCAGTGTGAACCAGTTTGCCAAAACTAAATTATGTAACTTTTATTTGGTTTAATTGATCCTATTGCCTGAATTTACTGTTTACAGGCTAACATATGTTCCTGTTTACACAGTGAATTGGCTTGAGTAGTAGACTGCTGGCCAGCTAAATTCCTGTCATGCCTCAGTCTGACTCCCCTGTACTCTCATCCACCATATCAATCACCTACTCACATTTGCACATTAAAGGTCCTCAGTACACACGCTGGATCTGGAAGTTCGTTTTTTTTTTTCAATGACAACTGTATTTTCCAGATGGATTTTCATAGTATCATTCTACTGAATTTTTCAGTTCAAAATGACTTCTATAATGTAGTCAGGCACGTCCACTTTGGCTACTCATACATCATCACATGATTGTTACAGTCACCCTTTATTGGGCTCAACACATCAGACTTGTTATATCTACTGTTCAACAGATACTAAATAGGGCCTAGATGGACACTAGCTGGCTAACAGCTCAACCTCAGCAAGATCAAGACAGTAACTACAAAGCCTGGTGGAAGCAAATAAAAAAACCCCAATTGCTATATTCACTAATGTCAAGTAAGTTTGTTCATGTTTTTTATGTGGATATACAGCTTCAAAAAAATCACCGATTATTGACGTGGCAAAACAAGGAGATAAATATGTTATTACTGTGTATCTTGATTTGCCCCAGACGATACAGGTTTTTCCTTCTGTTGCAAACTTAATCATTCTGATTTATTTTAGTAATGCACTGCATGTGGCTACATTCAGCTCATACAGAATGCGGATGACTGCTCATGTGATGGCAGGCTTCTACTCTACCTTCTCAATATGACATTGCACTAGATGTTACAGCTTCTGCCACATTCATTATAGATGAAATTCCCTGTGAATTATTGTGCTTGAGGCCCTATGCATGAGGGCTTTTTAGATAAAAGGCTGAGCATGTAAAAGAGAGTCTAACTACATAGTTAATATTAATGATAGGTCAATTCATGGGGGAAAAAAAAGAAAAAGAAAAAAAATATTTCTTTTAACAAAACAGTATTGACAGCCAAAAAAATTTAAAGCCGTAGCTTGCAGAAGGAGCAAATAGCTGTGGATTTGATAGAGGAGAAATTAATCTGGAGAGAAAGTTAAACAGTTACAGATAACTACAGTCTGTGAAAATACCAGTTACCATCAACTGGCTAGAATAAATCAGGTGCCCATCTAGCTGTCAAGAAAACAAACTGATTTAATAGCATTTTTAGTACAGCTGATCACATGTTGGGGTGGAGGTTGGGACAGATTAACTTCACAAGGGCAATTCCTTTCAATCCCATTTTCCAGAATTCTCCTACCACCTACACAGAGCAAATCATAAAATTCAGTAGCTAAAAAGCAAATGTACATTAATTTTACCTGAAGACTCGGATGGCAGCCAAAGTCCAGCAAAGTCTTCACAACTTGCAGATGACCTTTGTTGACTGCAATATGAAGCGGGGTCTGCCTGCGTTTGTTGCGAGCATTCAAATCTGCACTGCCTCGGTGCAAAACCTCTATCACAGCACCCTCATCACCAAAGGCGGCATGATGGACAGCCCTGTCTCCATCTTTGTCCTAAAGTAGAAACATTAATTTGACTCAGTATATTCCACATGTCCTTTGCATTTAAACAAGAAGACTAATTAAGTATCTGTCTTAAGACTTAACACTTAGATACAAATCTATTGTATAGATACAAATACAAATTAAAAGCACTGTATTTGTATACATGCCAATAAAATAATATTGGCAGTACTGTCAGCATAATAACCAATACCCATTAATGTCTGCAAATTAGAAGGCTTGGTGTTTTTCCTATGTAATATTTACATCAGGCTTTTTAAGCTCTGTCAGTAACACTATTTCCTGGCTAAACAGAGGCCACTTGTACGCTACAGCACTGTCACAGACATAAGCACAGAGGACACAAGAACATGAAGGCATCCCCAGGAAAAGTCATCATGAATGTATATAGTCTGCAGCAGTGACTGTAAGTGTAAATATATGCAACTTAGCTATAAAGCAGGCAAAGTAAGGATTTTTATTCACTGCTTCCATACCACAGACTACAACGGTGAAGTAAACTGACTAAATTTTTGCTCTCTGCTTAATGGAATGACACTGCTGGGTCTAAGTATCACTGATTTATAAACAGCTGAAATTCTTTAAAAGCATGAAACACATAATCATTAATCTTATAAATATACAATTAGGATAGTGATTAATGCAATTACATAATTAAGTAGGAATATCATCTTCACTTAAGCAATTCAGTTACATGAACAAGGCTTGAAAACTCAAATCAAATCCCTGAAATTTTTTTAATACTAGTGTTATGATACTTCTGAAGTCCAAGCAAACATGAACAAACATAAAAAATTAACAATTCTACTGCTAGCAGATTACTAGGTGTATTATCTTGAAGCTGTTTAAGCAGTACTTCTACTTCCCTCTCTAATGCTTCTAACCCTTCCTTATGCTAGAGAAGAAAGCACCAGTCCACCACTTGATTAACACGGCATCTTTGATCCCATAGTACAGATAAAAAGCAGCTCGGTCTAGTTTGTAACAGTACATACTATGTACTGCAGTGAAAGCACCACTTCTAAAAGGAAGCTACATCAGATATCAGACCACAGCAAACATGCATTGCATCAAATCTAATCCATCTTCACAATTCAGCAGAAAACCTTTATAAAGTAATGGTGTATCTGTGAATACAAAAATTATTTCCAAGAATCTGAAACTAAATTGTTTCATTATTCTAACTTCTAACATATAAACATATACTAACTTCTGTATATCAAATACAGTATAGCACTAGATGCCCAATCATGTAATGTTATTTTTCTGTTATGCAAACAATGGCTGGGCAAACTATTAACTTCTAATCATTCTGTTAGGCTTTAACTTATAGTCCTAATACAAGAAATTTGACAGATCCTTCTTGTGCTTCACAAAACAAGCAAAGGCTGCATTATCAGCACATTCTCTGTAAGCAAAGGCAAAATCAATTGAAAGTCCAAGTATCACAGTATGCTGATAGATAATTTTCTCACAAATAGTTCTAAAATGCCTGAACAAAAGAAATCCTTTCATTTTCAGTGAAGTTTAAAAAAAAAAAAAAAAAACCAACAAAAAAAACCCACAACAAACCAAAACACAACCTGAAAAAAGTGGAAGCAGACTTGGCAATTCCTACCCAAAGACACACAGATATTGTTGTGACTTTCTACTCAATCTTGCTTTAGTTAAAAATGGAAAACTTTCTCATAACTGAACACTGTATCTAAGCAGCATGGGAAGTAACTGAAGTTGGAGGGACAGCGTCTGACAACATCTTTTTCTCTGAATGTACAGGCAGTGTGCTAGCCTATTGCATTCCACTGTTGGAATAAAGGAAAGAAGAGGCTTCATCCACTAGTCATACACTGGTTTACATAGCTCTTTTACATTAGCATTATATTTCACTTAATTAGAGGTGCTAAAGAATTAAATGCTGACTTTTCGTAATACTCTTAACAGTAGGCTAATTTGAGAACCTAACCACAGTAAAAAAAAGTAGATTTCACTAGCTCTAACTTAAAAAAGAAGGCAACTCCAATAGAATTGTTACTTCTATACGTAGCAAAGTTTAAAACCTAAGAACATGCAAAAAAATTATTTTGACAAATTTAGGTTACCTCTGCTTCTACATCCACATTCTGTTTCAGAAGCAACTTCAAAATGTCAACATGGCCATTCTGACTAGCAGCTTGCATAGCTGTGTGTCCAGCACATTGTCCATTCACCTAGAAGCATATCAATACCTTGAGGTAAGTTGCAAGATACACACACCTATGAGATACTTTAGAAGTATACGTGCAAGTATATTAGAAAACTTAAAGCAACAGCATGCATATGAAAGTATTAAATGAACAATTTTTAGACACCTGCCTTTCTAGCACATCTACATGATCTCCTAGGTCTTCTCTATTTCTATAGCATTAGCTAGACTGAAGGAAAGAAGCAAGAAATTGATTTATTTCAAACATTAAGACCTTAACAATAGTTGGATTAGAAACTTTGTCTTTGGGCTACTGTAAAGGCAAGATTTTGAGAACAGGTCTCAGAATGATACCAGTCCTCTGCTCTACAGTGTATTCACCTTCATTTTCTAATTTATGGCAACAACAGAAGTCAGCTTGAACAAAATACCAGGTTTTGTATGATTTTGAGCTACAAATCAATCCTCAGAACTGAAGGGAGTTTAGTCTCTTATCTGCAAGAATTACTACTGCTCTAGTGAGAAAACATCTGATTGTGATTTTCCCTGAACCTATAATTCTTAAGCATTTTATTTTTGACCTGTCAGTACTAGGTGATTAGGCAAGTTGGTAAAAGGAATCTGACAGAACAGATAAGCTGATCTACCTTTTAAGTTAAAAACAAAATAAACCCCACCACAACAGCAAAAAAAAAAAAAACAAAAACAAACCCAAAAATAAAAATCCCCCAAATCTATCCCTCTTCCCTTCCATCCCCCTGGAAACAAAAGCTGAAGACCCTTCACTAATTTTGAGTGTTTGGTTGTCTGCCCTCACTCTGGCAGAGAGATGCTGGAAGGTATTTAATTCACAGCAGACAATGGAACACAAAATCTGTCAGAAAAAAGGTGTAAAGCCTATTTTCACACCAACCCCCAACACATTTCACAAGACAACAAATGGGAGAAGAGACACTGGAATCAGCTGTAGTACTTCTATACAGATACTCTACCAGCTGGCAGAGAGTATCTAGGACAGCTTCACTTCCTTTAGCATTGTAGGTCCCCAGAACAGGTCCTCCCAAAACACAACACTCACATCTACATCTGGCCTCTTCAGCAAGTCTTCCACTTTAGCAACATCTCCATTGGCAGCAGCTTTAACCAATTCTTCATTGAGATCACCAGATTCTTGGGTTTCAAATAATTTCTTCAATAGCTGGGACAATCTCTCTGTAATTATTAAACAAAGAATAATTCAGATTACAGTTCTAATCACACAGTAACAGAAAAACAATGGCTAAATCTGCCATGTTTCTAAAGGCGTGTACATACTAATACACAAACCACCATGAAATGGCAGCTGTAATTTACTCAGTTCTGAGTAAACGCTGCACTCCAATACCCTTTAGACATTGGAGACTACCACTTAAGACACTTCAAAGTTGACTGAACTTGTCTACCACAAGCTTGTCTACAAATAGCTTTTCTACTACAAAATAGAGTAGGATGGGGAAAAGGTAGAAAACTTGAATTTACATATTGACGATGTAAGAAGCTTTTTAGTCTTCTAGCTTAACTTAAGGTATACCCTGCCCTCTGTGATTCGAAGCACTAACTTGTATTACTCTTCTACCTAGTTTTATGGCCACTGTGATTTTGCCTTTATTGAAGAAAACTCCCTAAATCTATGCCTCCCTAAGAAAAAGTCTAGAAAACTATGTAGAAAGGTTTTTTGGCATTAAAGCAAATATGTGAAAAGGAAAAAACAACTAGCTATGACCAAAAAAAGGAAAAACATTCTAGTTTAATTGATCTGTGAAACAGCCAACAGAACATAAAACACACCGGATAGCTTTTGTACCTTGTTATTAAATGAATGAGAACAGGTTGAAGAGAATTGAAGTGTGAATACATGAACACAGACTAAAAAGTCCCACTGCAACTGGTCAAAGGATATCTGACTAAATTTTAAGACAGAAATTCTAAGGAAATATTATTATCCCGAGTAACTGCCTGCAGCAGATCCCTCGCTAATGCTTGATATCCCACACCACCTATTAAACGAAGGGTCTGCTTGTTTCAGCCAGCGACACTCTCTTCATGCCTTAGTCCCTACTCCAGTCTCATGTCCCTGCTTATTATTTCAATGTTAAAGATCTTAGAGAAGACCTCCAAAGACATACCTGTACTGTGGCTAAACAGAAACCCAAATTCAGCTTGGTGTGTTTGCACCTTATCAAGAAAACAATCACCAATATCTCCATATCAACTGCAAGCTTTTTCTTGTGTCTTTCTCAAAGGCATAACATCAATTAGCCACACCTCAAGTCTGAGTATTATTAACCTTGCATACAAACTCCATAATAGTACTTATTACCTATTTTTTTAAACACAAATACTTGACTATTCTTCAAACTTACCACCAGATGCATTACTTATAGCAGATCCTGCTGATGCCACCTTTGAGACAGCTGCTGGATTATAAGTCCAAGATGTCCCACAGACCTCTACCTTTAAGTCGCTGTCTGAATAAATCTGCTGGACACGACCAACTTTACCTAAAGTCTGCATGAAAGAAAACATCAAATGTACGTAATATTAAAAATAAAATATTTAGAAATCTAAATGTTTTATAACTCACAAATTTTATGAAGTCTGTTGTTTAACAGTACAGTCACTAATACCTTTAGCTAAGTTTCATCAGGTTAAGCAGATTGCTACATCTGAGCAAGGATGCAGTAATCACCACGTTTGATCAAATACACTTTCTCTCACTTAGATGAAAATCACTCTTTCATAACTTTCAGGTATTATTACAAATCGTAACTAGAAATACTGTACAAGTTTTATGATTTTTATGAATCAAAACATACAACTACTTACTGGAAGCATTGCTTCAGCCCACTCTCCATGACCTCTTTGGAGAAGCTTGATTCGCTCTAAATCATAACACACTTGAACAAGGTCACCCACTTGAAATTGAGAGGTACCTCCTTCTGCACCTTGAGCAGCATCTCCACTTCGGACAACATTGGCTTTGGTGAGAACAGCTGGATTAAATGTCCACCTAGACAATAAATCATTTAAAATACATTTTAAACATGTGAAGTTAAATACATGCTTAAAAATTATCTGTTGGACAAGATTGTGCTTGTATGCTTACAAACTTTCTGCAATTGGGTACTACGGCATATTTGTCATTAACTATTTTTGTCCAGAAACTTGTCTGTTGCTCATTAGTTGAATTCTTCCAGGGTAATCTTCAGAGATTTACATTTGTAAAAGCAATGAAGAAATATCCTGCTCCCTCTCCAGGGAGAGAAGGAGACAACTCGGGTTGAACAGGTGAGGATCCAAGCTGCCCCACAAAGGATTTGACTATCAGGGAACAACACAGAAAAACATGGAATTTTGCCTCATCCCCTCTAGGTCAAAAGCTGCAACATTCAGTTATAAAAAACACTCTTCAATTTAATGGATGTTCTACATAACCCTCAATTTTTAAATACTCTAATTTGTACTATAAATTTTATTGGGTTAGATTCTAATGTATAATACGTGATGATGTCTCCTTTATGGGCCATTTGGTCTGGGGTCGACTTTCATTCCGTTATCTGATCTAGTTGAGAAGCACCACATAACCTCCATGAAGGGCAAAGTCAGGGAGGAAGCCACAAGACAGAGCAGCTCCTCTCACTGGCTCTGCAGTTATGCCTTTCATAAGAAAAGCCACTTGAATCCCTTTCAGCTTGTGTAAGCTGGGAAAACAGCTTTAGTTCGCATTACTTTGCAAAATTTTCACCACGTGAAAGAGGCAACAAACTTCTTTTTCCTACTGAAGGTAAGTCTTCATTATACATTGTTGAAGGAATATAAATATTCTCAAGGAAGTCTTAATAGACACAAAAGGAGAACAGAATGTTTCTGGCCTCAAGTGATCACTCACTAGTGCTGAAGGCAAAGAAAGTTTGTGAGAATCAGTGATGAAGGCTATATAACAAACCTGTTGCCACTTGGATATTGTACTACAATGTCATGATCCTCATCAATGCCACAAACTGTTCCAGTTGTTGTTAAAGTTTCAAACATTCCATCAGTCCATCCTCCATGACCATGCTGCAAGGACTGTACAATTTCCAAGTCCAGGTCAATGTTTACAAGGTCACCTATCTGCAATCCACCAGGATTTCTGTTACCATTTTGCTCACCTGAAATGGAATAAGTAGAAAATGTTTAAAGGACCACACTAATTTTTCATGTGATTTAAAGAACAGAAGTCAATTTCTGAGACTTGATGTCTGCAACTGTAGTGGCCAATAGGTAAAAGGAAGTGAATGGGTAAAAAAAGAACTCTGAACCTCTGGCTGTGGAAGTATGTATTTCTTGTCAAATTTTCCAGGCAAACAGCAATGACACTGGCAAATGCTATATACTTGCGAAAGGCTCCACTATGGGCTCTAACTGATATGGTAGTACTTATCACATAGCATTAGACATCTAGATACATAAAAGCTCTAATAATTTTGAGAGTGTCATATACAAAGTGCCATCTATCAGCCACTCAGAGGCTGAAAGATAAGCAGATGGCCCACAGAAAGTGGTTTTGAATTGGGCCAGTCCTTGAATGTGGAGAAAGCACTGGCAAAAGAACACCTCCAAAATTACTCACAATGAAAATCTTTAACCTTGTAAGTGGGGAGATGACTAAAAACATCACCCCCACACCCCCACCAAATTACAATTAAAATGTTCTCCTTGGAAAATGCCTGCTTTCAAAAGATGTGCCATAGCAAAAATTCACTAGCTGGAGGGAAACTTCATACACTCACATGTATCAAGCTGTGTTAACCGATGAGAGAACACATCTGTGGACCCCTCCTCAATGCCAGAACCAGAGGATGGTACCTGGCACCAATCACAGAACACTGAAGAGCATGACAACACCAGAAGTCACACAGCTTCAGTTCAATGGGCAACACCAGTGGCAAAGGACAGGGTGAGCAGAGTTCTTCTACTAATATTGCTGTCTTTAAGGGGAAGGGAGGTGGGCTGTTTCATAGAATGCTTTGGGTTGGAAAGGACTTTAAAGATCATCTAGTTCCAACCCCCCCACCACGGGCAGGGACACCTTCCACTAGACCAGGTTGCTCCAAGCCCTGTCCAACCTGGCCTTGAACACTGCCAGGAACGGGGCAGCCACAGCTTCTCTGGGCAACCTGTGCCAGTGTCTCACCACTCTCACAGGGAAGAGTTCGGTTTTCCTCTTCCAACCAAGAGGTAATAACGAAGAAAGAGCCCTTGCAATGTAATAATGAGGAAGCACAAACAGCCTGACTCAGAGACAAAAAAACATTATTTGGAGGGAGACTGATTCCAGAGCCTGAAAGTCACACCAGATGTTGGCAGCACTAGTTGCAGTGCTAAAAATCTCCAGGTTACAGAACAGCAAAAAAGAGAATCTGATACTTCTGAAGAAACTGCTGAGAAAGAAAACATGGCTATGAATAAATAAATCCTCATGTTCAATAGACTTTGACTTCTATGACCACCCAGTGACCTCTTCCTGTTCTGATCTTAATTTAAAGGACATATAGATGGAATGGTATTTCCAGTCTGCACTCTTGACCTTCACAGTAACACAGACATAACATGGAAAACAGCCACTTCTGCTGAGGACAAAGTCAAAAATTAATTCTTCAGAAAAGCTACTGATACAAAATTCTCTAGATCTAAAACTTAGACAGCAAACACCCCAGACACATCTCTGATGAGACAGGGAAGTCTAAGAAAGGAAGAGACACAGAACAGCAAAGAAGCCCCCACTACATCCTACTCCATATTAGTTAGGGCCCTGCTGGAGTATTATTTGCACTCTACTTAAAATATCACAAAGCTTCAAAAATAACTGTCTAGGTTTTAATGCAATCATACATTTAAATTCACAGCATGTACGTATCTCTGAACTATGTTCAGAAGACAAATAAAAGGGACAGATGTTCAAACAAAGAGTAAGACTGAGAAGATGGAGCATAATGTGGCAAAAATGATGAACTGAGTTCATCATCACCCATTAAGAGCAACTTAATACAGTGGAAGGGGAAGAATTTAACAAAGAACAGTCTCCTGCTATGTTTAGTGATTAATATTCATGCAATCAAATATGGTATCACCCTAAAAGTAAGCTATGTGCAGAAAACAGACCTGTACTTTTAAAGCAAGAACCAAAATGAATAAAGTATCTCTGAATACTTAAGACAGTCTTGTAAGAATGCACAGCTGCGACTCCTCAGAAATATGGTGCAAGACGTGATAGAATTTATTACTTAAATCAACAGCTCCCTTGCCATCCACTTGGCACTGATACCAAATACTTTTAGAAAAGTATTACAATTTATCATTAATGCAGAGAAATGCTATCATTTACATTTCACTAGTAAGTGACATTCACGTGTCGCTTCCAGGTAATTAAATTTAAAGAAAGAAATCCAGACTAAGTATAATTAACACACAGCAAGATAAGTTGGCTTTATCTTCCACTCACCTAACACAGGACAATGGTCCCTGTAGAAAGAGCCTCCTTTTGCATCTTGGACACATTTCAGGTCAGACTATGGAAAGAGATTGAGACAACTTTAGTCCTCACTGACTCAGTCTCCAAGATAAGTTAATAAAACTAGAATTTAAATGTACACAGTTAAGAAAAGCCGAAGTTTTTGTGTACAAGAAAACACGCCCCATGAATTCGTTAGTGATACATATAATCTTAAATACTTTCCAACCTTGATATGCTCAAGATTTTAATAACCTTTACCAATATAAAAGGCTATAAAGGATGAGACATTTTTAACTCAAACACAGGTATTAAAATAACACAAAGCTCCTTTGCATTGTTCTATAAAGTTCTAAAATGTCTAAGAACACAAGCAAGGAATCAGAAAAAACAACAAAAAAATCCCCACAACTATCTGCAGCCAGTGCCCGAGGCCACAGCCTTTCCTGTATTTATCATTCAATGCCTGCCGGTGCTGTCCCCTCTTCCCAAACCTTTTTGACAGATACATGCTTAACTTGGAGAAGAAAACCTGGCACCCAAATTCTACAAGATGAAGAATTTCCAAATAAGAATATACAAAACACAAGGATGTTACATTTAAAAAGAAAACCAAACAATATGCTGAGCTAAACATGATCTTTTTAAAGAGAAAAGTTCTAAAGCTCATCCTCTCAGAGAAACAGACGTTTCCAGTGGGATAACCAACAATTCATAAAGTCAGCAGAATTACTACAATTCTCTTCTATTTTTTTCCCCTGCGTAACCCTTAAAGCCAAATGGCTACCATCTGCTATTGCTTCTTATGGAACAATTCTCACTGAACTACGGCATTTTGTGTGTATGATGAGTTGGGAAGGAGATAGGAAACAGTTTGCAAAATGTGTCAGAATATTCTATGGGATGGGGGAGGAAACAGAGGACAGGTGGTGGTTATGATATAATCAACCAGAACTAAACAAATACTTTAACAATCATTTTTCCCCACACCCAAGATTTATTGACACACTGTGCCAAGGATTAAAATGAAAACTCTCGAGTCTTACAAATCATCAAGGCACTGCTGAACACAATATGACCCTCAGCGACCTCTGACGGCTAAGCAGCCAGAAACAATACAAAACTCAGTGTACATCCTGATCTACAAAGAATGTACCCCCGCCTTCTGAAAAAGTGATGAAAGCAGCCAGACTACAATAACGAGATTTAGCCGCTCCTCAAACCCTGAGACATCAGAGAATGAGTCTGCCCGGCCCAGCAGCAGCAGGCCTGCGACAAAATGCTGCCACCCGGTGGGCAGGTGCCGGGTTTAACTCAGCCAAGACAAAGGGGCTGCGCTGGCCATCCCAGATGGCAAGCTCATTCATTCCCCCAGACCAACAGAGTATTTAACGTGCCCGGGAGCACTTGGTCTCACCCACTGAATACAAACTCTTCGTGTCATGCAACAACCAGCTGTCTGTGCAGGAGTCAAAAAGGGATATACAGGCAAGAACTGTTTTCACATTCTTCACAGCATTAAGCTAGAGCATGGGAGGGTCCTAAATGATTCTCCCAGCCCAGCAAAACATGGGGGAAAAAAATCACCTGCGCTACATCAAGAATTAATGTACAAAGCAGACTGATGGCTAAAAAGCTAGCAGAAGAAATAAAATATTAAGTAAAAGGCTCATTACTATCTTGCAGCAGAAATTACTAGGAAGCAGGTTAAAATTTTATAGGGGGGAAAAAAACCCCAACCAACAGAAACCGACAGATCTGCACTCCCTTTTTACTCTGTCTGTACTGTGCCCTGCACAGAGTTTATTTCTGGAGCATAATGATATACTTCATTGTAAAACTAAGTGGTAGCTTGATGTTCGACCTCAGCTTCACATCTGTCTTTCCTTCACTTACATGATGCAGTCAATGTTAGATTGCTAAGGAGTAAAACAAGAGTCTGATCTGGAATATCACAGAAAAGCAAGCCAACATGTTTACTGAGGACCCAAAACACACAGAAGGACGAAGCACTGACACAGATAATGCAGTACAAACTCATGTAACTGTACATACAGCGAAGAGTTCCTTCAGCAACTCTGCAAACAGCACTAGTAAGAAAAGTAAAATCAAGATGACAAAGGCCTGCAGATGTCTTAGAGAAACATAACCAAACCCTGGAGTTTTAAGATAGGAAGCTGTATTCAGTTGTTCTTCAGTACCACAAAAGCTGGGTAAGCAACTGTAATTCTACTTCTAGCACTCTGCTACTCTATTTATCAGAAAAGGAAAACAAGCTTTCTTTTGCCCAAGTAGTTTTAAGTGAAAAATCGGGTGGTGTTAAGTCCTGGTCATCCTGCCCTGGGGACTGCGTGGCAAGAGGCCCCCCTAGTGAGGATGGAGCACAAACATACCCGGTGCTGTCAGCACATCGCTGCTGCCAGCTCTCTGCTTGCTTGGCCACCTCTGCTGTACCACACCAGGAACCTCACTGGGATTTCTACAAGTTACATGTGTCTCCCTCAGTCTTGTAAATGGATTGAAACAGCAGACTGTTTGGAGATGAGACATCCAAGTGCAAAAGGGAATACACCAAAGCACAAGAGATGCTAAAGTGCAAGTTTGAAACTCAAGGTGACACTGTGCACGGAAAAAGAAGTAACAACAGTGAGGCTGGGAGTAAATACACGGTGGAGACAAATGTGCAAAGTGAAAGCAAAACATAAGCTTTTAAACAGTAACTTGATGGAGATATTCAATGAACCCTTAAGAGGATTCTTTCAAGAAACAGAAAAACAAGCTACAGATTTTGAGGAATTCGTGTAGTTTGAGAAGAGATGGAAGCCCCAGTTAAGGAGGGAATCATTATAAGGAGAACTCAAGGAACAGCATGAGCACGAAACACCACACAGCAGGACTTTCAGATCAGTACAAACAGCTGATGCACATGAGCAGTGGGCAATAATGCATTTTGCCCACAGTGGAGAACTTTGGTCTTCTAACATCTACCTTCTGACTTGCTGGAAAACTTTGCATTCCAGCTGTATGTGACAGGATTACATAAAGATCACGACCTGCTCAGCCAAATGAGAAATACAGAAAAAGTAAGTCTGCTTTGACTTGCCATCCAGTTGTACCATTGGAAATCATCAGCAATTTCACCACCATAAAGACTTCAGAGAATGAAAAAATAAAAATAAAAATGTATGTTTAAGCAATGTCAGCAGTGTTGGCAGATGATGCAGAAGTGCTATCATCCCTGACCCTGAAGAGGAAAACAATGCTGAAGGAGCAGCTGCCTACTAGAGTAACTATTATGTTATTTAAATCAATATGGAATGCCATTCATCAAAAACAGGGAGGAGAGCCTACATGCTTGATAAGAAAACTAAGTGTGCTGCTGAGAAAAAGAAAAATGTTTGATCCAGATGCACTGAAACAGCATCTGACACCAGCAGCAAATACCGGGAGAGAAATTAATAGAGATCTTGCAGATATACCAGCAGGAACTGTGCCACAGCTGCAGGTGTTTGAGGTAGCAACAAATACATCCCTTAAAGGTCATTTTAAGTCTTTTGAACTCTCACCAGTTTTTGGCAAGGAAATAAACCTAGTGCATGTTGCTTTCTCACCTGGTTAAGACAACAAGGAACTGAATAAATCCGTAAAGTTTAGCTAAAAGGTTTATAAGAAATGTTGTATTCAAAACTTAATGAACTTGAATCACTTCCAATTTCAAGAAACTGAGAAAAGTAAAGGCAATAAAAGGAGAAAGTAGAAGATAGCGTAGAAAGCGACTGAAATGGCAAAGAGGTGTGAGGTATAAAAACTAAGCAACAGCCTCCCACAGAGAAATCAGACCTCAGGCAAATCCTGAGTGAACTGTTTATAACCTTACTGTCTATTGATTATAATTACTTATAAAGCCTTCCCATGTGTAACTTTTTTTTAAGGAGGATCATTTTAAAGTCTTCCTTGTGGGTTAATACTGTAAATAACAACATTGGAAAAGGATCACTAAGTACATTTCTGCTTAACAGAAATATGTTTCTAAGTAACTCAGTTACAGAGGGATGAAAAACTTGGCTTGGTTGCAACTATAGGAGAAATGTAAAGAAGTAAGACTACATAAACAAGACACAAAACAAGGTCTGCTGACAAGTGAAAATAAATGCACACATTATACGCAAATATCTCATTCCACTCTGGATTTCCAAACAACTAATCATCTAACTCTGGCCACACTGCAAGTAATATAATAAAAAACACCCACTGCATGTCTAAAAAGTGGCCAAAATTCACATCTGTGTTTTAAACCAGTTTTGATTAGCACCTAGAAGCAACAGAAGGACACTAAACTAACAAGATAATGAAAATTCCTGTTGCTCCTTCCTAAACTCCTCATTTTCAACATACAGGGGACAAGATAAAAGACTAAAGAGCTGAAGATTTGACTTACATTTCAGATCTGACAGTTGTAAATGCAGCAGAAAGCATCTTTCTATATATTTTGTAACACCTGCAATGCCTGGTATGCCAGGACATTTACCTTGGGTTTATTTTTAAAAGTGTCAGTAAATCATTCTTAAAATCCTCTTGAGCAATTTCAGGGATTATCTTTCAGGGTGACCCAAATAAATGTTGATGAACAGAGACTAGTTGTCAACCAGGAAAAGAAAGTTTAAAGTAACATCAAAAACACAAGGGGAAGGAATCTTCTCAACTTCCTTTATGCACTCAACTATTCAAAATTCATGGAAAAAAAGTACACAAACACAGATGGCTTACAGATTACTGTGACAATGATGGATGATAACTACAGCTACTTCTTTCAGAAACTTCACAGAGAAAGCAAGATCCTTCATAATGAAAAACAAGAGGAGGAGGTTAATCACAGCAAAAAAAGGCAAGCAATACCGGGCGGGGGCAGAGAAAAAGGTAGCAAAAAACCAATTCCTAAATAATGAAATTGATTTAGGGCACATCTGCCGATGGAACCGTTACCGGAAGTTTTTATAGCAAAATCATCCTATTAAATAAGTAGTAGACTGTAACGCTTATTGAAAACCAATGGAAGTTACCAGCTGTACATCCTCCATTGTGTGATAAGAAAAAATAAAACCCAGAAACAAGTCCAAAAAAGCTAAATCACAATCTTCTCATTAACCCTCCAATTCCAACATAGTGTATCTTTATATTGCAAAAGGCTATGTTCACACACTTCTAAAGTAGTCAAGGTGCTCAACAGCTCGCTCTGGCTCTAGAATCTGAATACATACGAAGATGAAATAAATGCAAGCAGCGTCAGTAACCATATTAGCCAACAATTTCTTCCCACTATGGATGTAGCAAACGTTATTCAGCCTACAAGCATCATAAACACAGATTTCAATTTGGGAAACTGTGGCCTTTGGCAGGAGAAAGTCCCGGTTTTAAATGCCAGGCTACACAAAGAAAGGCAAGATGCACCTCTCTCAACTATTTCATATGTAAACACAGCAACAACAAACTCAGATAAAAACTCTAAACATCCGACCACAAATAAATTCAAGTTTTCAGCCAGCACCTGCTGCCCACCAGCCAATCCTCTTCTCTCCCAAAGAAAAGCTGGCAGGCCAGATAAATTAATTTTGAGGACCAGATGCAGCCTGTCAGCTATCAAACAAGCAACCCCAACTTACAATGATAAGCTGTGTTTCTTTCATCAACTCCATTTGCATGAGTCAAGTGTTACTCATTTGCAAGCAAGGGGTCTCTTCCCAGCTGTATTTACATGGGTACACACTCTCAGTATTCTTGATTTCACATTCTCCCAACACTCTTAACCAATTTCTAAGTCCCAAAACAAGTTTGCCCCAACTTCACCTGAACTTTGTGATGGTCTATTACTCAGTTTCACATAATAGCATATACATAGTAGTAAAGATTAATAATGAATTGTACACATAGCAAGCAATTAATCAGTTATAAAATTCAGCATTACATTTAAATGACTATTTGTCACAGATCTCCAAGAATCCATTTTGTCTGAAGTGAAAATTGCATTTGATAACGGTATCTGACAAAGATAAAATTATTGTAGGAATGGATTACAATTAGGTAAGCACTATATATAAAGCCTCAAGTTACCCTTTTATACCCTTTTATACGTATGCATATTATTTATATATTACCCTATATATAATATATACATATATGTAGTTTCACGCACATTTTAACAGGTTATATGTTGTTAATTAAATGACTGACCTAATAGTTCTATTTGTACAAATCTTATGGGAAGGATCACCCGTACCCATTCAAATTGACAAGTTGCAGTAATAAATCAAGTATTCTAGAAATGTTTAACACTTTCTTGTGTGGTGGAAATTTGGCACTAGAATATAGATGGATTTACAAATAATAAACATATTTTTTATTATTAAGGGAATATATATTCAGAACAGATTATAACTTATCCTAAATGTATTTTTTTCTGAGGCCAGAAGGAATCTTTAATGATTCCACAGCACTCCTACTTATGCAGACCACAGATTCTAACATAGTAACTGAAATCAAAACAACAAAAAGTTGATCTGTACCTCATTCTACCTACATTTTGTAATTGTGGGAAAGATACCAGCAATTGGTTTACTAATATTATACTACAAAATACTATATATAACTTTTTTCCCTTTTGGCAGTATTTAAGGAATTTTCTTCAGAACTCAGGGGGGCGGAAGAGGAGGCCATGAAGCACACAATTCAATATGGACTTATATTTTATCCTTAGCGTCTTCACTCACCAGAAAAGCTGACCTGCACTACAGACATTTACTCTTTTTAAACCTGACACTAAAATATGTATTTATTGCAAAAGTGGTATTTAGTACTTATTTTTACTATAATAAATTCTATTTCAAGTAAAGCTATAAGGCACAATATTTTACTTTCAAAAAAGCAGACTAGCCATTGTTTAACGTTTTACTACTGATACACATCTGACAAGATGACACTTCAATGTTAAGTTAACATGGTTTTCCTCTGCAGAATCAAACAAAAATAATGCAAAGAAAATGCTAATTAAGATGTTGTAAAGCAGTTGATAATCAAAGTAACCTTTCCCTGACCCACATTAGGATAAGAAAACCCAGCAACAGAAGGCACTTAGGCTAGAGTCTGACCCATTTTCTCTCTAAAGCTGTAGAAGTAGCTGTAGAAGCTAGGAAGTGAAAAAGAAAAATCTAGTGCTAAAGCAAATTAAGGTTGTAACTTAATTCAACACCTTTCCACTGACAAAACAAAAATGCTCTCAAGAGAGTTCTGAGTGTTGCCAGTAATTTAAAATCTGCAAATCCTGCAGTAATCACACCAAATTTTGAAGTGAACTGAAGAGTTCAGGAGTTAAAGAAATACAGTCTTTAAAGAGTTCACAACTAAGCTTCTTTTCCTTTTCTGAATTTTAAGCACAATAGTAGGACGGTAAGATAATCATGTATGCAATGTAAACATTTACTATACTCTGGCAGAAAGCAGCCCTTAACTTGAAGTTATTCACAGGTCTTATAAATTCCCAGATTAGACCTTCTTACTAATACATATGCATGATCCATACAGCTGTATTCACAATGACCTGACTAATAGCATGCAAACTGACAAAGGATATTACAAAAGCAGGATAATAAAGCACAATGAGTTATTCTTACTTCCCTTCCCCCACCATGCGTTTTACCCTTTGTGTTCTTTTATACTTACCATGCCCTCAAAGCCAACTCTGTAAAGGTTTTTAGCTCCATTGTCCCAAAGAACATATGCTGCGCTATGTGGGCTTGACGCACTCCAATCTTGGATTTCAGTTACCTATTCAATTTTAAAAATAAGAAAATTGCTTCTAGAACAAAGACTTAGAAACACAAATTGAACTTAAAACCTCATTCATCTCTCCAGAATATTTCAGGATACAGCAGTTCTAGTGAAGTTAATACAATTTATTTTGAAGCTGTTTTCTGTTTGATACAAGTGTTCCCGTCTTAGGAAGATGGCAGCCTGTATATGTACTTTGTATGCCTATTTCTCTTTTGTGTATGTGGTAGGCAATCTAACGACATAAGTAGAGAACAAAATATGAACTGTAAAAATTTATTTTATGATGCTTCTTATTAGAAACAGCATTTAACTAAGAAAAACAGGACAAAAACTATTTAATTGCTTCAATTTGTCTACTTCAACCTGCATTAGCCTCGCGGTGGTGTGCTATGTTAGGAGACAAAGTTTTATTTCCAGAGCCAACCTGTTCAATAGTACAAAAGGAGAGTGAAAAGGACTTTCCCTGACATTTCTGAAATCATAAGGCCATGCACCAAATTATGAAAACACTTCCATTACTATAAAAAATACATTTCCAGAATTTGTCTTCATTCTTATCTGTATTTATTTTAAAGCTCTTCCTGCTACCTACTATCTGCTTCTCCTCTTTGCAAACATTTATATGCATTTATACATATTTTCAGCTTGCAAAAAACCTGACTAATTTGAGTTCAGCACATAAATCAGACAATGCTGTGTAAGACTCATTCTGCAAAGTTTCAGAGATCTCAAAATATCTTGCCCATTTCACAAGCAAGGGGTAAATAATCAAGCTGGAATAAAAGCTGCCTCTAAACAGCCCTTGCTCTAAGAGATTTAAATTTATTATTTCCTCTCAACAAATTCCAAAATTAAATCCCCAAAAATCCTAAAGCTTCTGCAAACATCTAGGCTATAAAATAGCCTAAGTATCTTATCCAGGAACTTTTGACTTTCGTTTAAATGCTGCTTAAGTGTTCTAAAAACAAATGCAACAAAACCCACCAGTTCACCAAGATATAAGGGCATCAAATTCACCTTCTAGAGCATCCTATATTTGGTAACAAAAGTCACAGTATACACCTCCTGCTGTATGTTCATACTTATAACAAACCTTCATTAGTTCTCAAGGTAAATGTAAGTTGTAAATGGAAAATTTGCAAAGCTTATGATTAGCAATGTATCATTCCATGCAATGTTCAAAAAATCCAGATTATTTTTATTACACAACTATATCAAAACTACTCATATAATGTCCCAAACCAGTAGTATAATATCTATACCCAATGCTTGCAAAATTTTTTATTTAAACTGGAAAAGTCCATATAATTATTAGATAGAAAAAAAAACCCACAAAACCAAAAATCTAGGGTGCAAGTACTGAAAACCAAGAGCAAGAGTTACTCAAATGTGCTGACCCACAAGCAATGAGACTACAGAATGCAGCAATGACCAGGAAGGGATATTCTTGATACCTCTGGTTCTATACCAGCTCTCTCACATTAATGCTGAAATATGTCCCAAGATCTTAATGTTGTTACAAACCACTCTTAAACAAATCCACCAAGACAAAAATTCAGTAGTTTGAAAAATTTTGTGCTAGCATTGTAAAAACGTACATTTAAATTTACAAGAACCAGTTACAGTTTATGTCCCCTCTTCTTTCCAAACGCTTGAGCATTACAGAACAAGATTAAAAGATGTCCAGCAAATTAAAACACTTTTATGATGATATCTTTACTCTGAAGTTAGAAAGGCCACTGAGACCATTACATTGAGCATGCAGAAATGCATCTTCTTATTTAAACCACTTTTAGTTTTACCTTTCCCCTACGCCCATTGCCACCATCTTGATCTTCCCATTGCCAGTCAACTCCTCGCACCACTCTGGCACCTGCAAAGATTCCTCTTGCTGTAATTTTCTTTGATTTACGGCGTGACTCCAACAATACCCTGAAGTTATTAAAAGAAGAACCCACAAGTGTCAAGAGAACAACAAAAGTCCAAAATAAATCTTTGGGGATGGGAAGAAAGGAGAGCATCTTGAAACAAAAATAACCCCAAACACAGACTTCGGTCAGTGAATCACATTCATTCGATTCTCAACTTGAACAGCAGCCCACAAGCTAAAAAGTCACAATCTTCCTAAATCTCATTTACTGTATGTTTATCATTAGTTTTTAATTCTAATGATAATTTTTTCTCCAAACTTCCTACTACCAGTAATAATCTTGCAACCACTTACATATAGATCTATTCCCGTATTATTAAAATCATTAAAGAAACCTAGAGAGTCATAAATAACACATTTCTGTTTCTCTTACATGCACCCTAGGCCAGTATTAATCCCCTGCAATTGCCCTGACATTTTTACTCACAATTATGCTATAAAGCAAGAGCTACACCTGTTTCCCCTCCATGTCTCAATTCATTTTCTACATACTTGCAGCATATCTTGGCAAATTTTATTCAGATCTCGGAACCCCTTTGTTCAGTCATAATACATAATTTTTCTAAAGCAAACCTCT